TGACTATTTTTTCATCAAGTAAGGGTATTCCAGGCATGGCTGGTTGTAAAATCCATTGTTCATGACTTACATTTTTATTAAATCTCCGCTTGCAAAGAAGTTTGCACACAATTCTACCAACGAATAACTGCTCGGTTTAATTCTGACATTTAAACCGATAAATCGGTCCCTGTAACACTTAAAATCGACACAAACAACAGAATTTTGCCATGGTAACTTAAATTTAGCGGATTTCTTCAATAAAGTAAAACCCTTTTCCGTGAAAAATTTTGTAAAAATCAATAGGAATTTATTTTATTTTCTAGTAAAGCTTACGGATTTTTTTGTGGGAGAATGGAAAGGCGTACAAACTTCCGGTTTTGACTACTAAATTTGTAATCGAAACTCAAAATGACGGCTACAAAATGGCGCTTTCCGTTGCCTCTGCACGAAGAACATGGCCCAAAAACTGCAAGCCTACAGCCTCTTGTAGTAAACTAAAATCAAAAATCGTTATCATTACTTGAAGATTATGAAATTTTCTACGTCCTGAACTTCAATTGAAACAATTTGAACAATAAATTTATTGCATAATGGTCATTGGAATTATAAAGTTCAATTTTTTGCTACTTTTTTCACTTCAATTACGTTAAAAAATTATAAATAATTAATTATTAATGCTAATCTTAGGTTTAGTTTTTGGATAAAAGAAATCGGACGGATAGATCAAGGCCGTGGCTTGTAGTTAGAACGGAGAACATGGTTACGAGTTTTTGTTGTTATAATGGGTTTCTTAATCTAGCGTTTTAAAATAGCCCACATGGGCTCAATGGGATTAAGATCTGGAGACAGTGCAGGCCAATCTAGCAAAGCAATGTTGTTATCTCTAAGCCAATGCATCGTAGTCGCTGATTTGTGACAAGTAGCATTGTCTTGCTTAATTGAACTGAGGGCGGAAGAACAGCTTCTAATACATTTATGCACTTTCGACTGTCCATGCGACCCTCGCAAACAGACATTTCGCCGCTACCATCAGCAGCCATGCAGCCACAGATCATAATGCTGTCTCCTCCATGCTTAACAGGGGGTACCACGCAATCTAGATGATATTTTTCCGCAACGCGTCGCCTTACGAACGTCACACCAGGTGTTCCAAATATCTGTAGAAAAGAAAAAATAATGTTTTCATAAGTCTTCAAAATTGCTTTAGGTTAAGAAGCTATGGCTGTTAATACTTTAAGACGATCTTAACTAAGCTTACCTTGAAGCTCGATTCACCACAGAACGTTCCAAACGATTTTTCATTTTCTTTTCTAAGAGCCAGTTAAACACCCAGGTAAGACATTTACAAATAGAAATGGTAACTTTGATAGCCACATTTGAAAATACTTATATTTTAGTGGGGTGCCTCATACTTTTGGCCAAGGCTGTATATGGCTTTAGTTTTTTGCGTAAAAAGATCGATTTTTTGATCCAAAATCAGAGAACTGTACACTTAATAAAAATGATAAGGGAATACCCAGAAATATTTATGCCGGCTGTCCGTCTTTCTGTCTTTTAGACTGTTTGGCTGGAAATTACACCGTTAGTTTTGGAGATATTCCACCAAACAGAGGTATTTTTTGATCATTTGCTGCTTTTATATTATACGTAATTATAACCGATTTTTAGATTTGATGTTATGAACCGGCCAAAAAAATACGGAAGAGCGTTTAAGTTAAAATTCTATATAAATTACTTAAAATTAGTATTTATACTGAAAACCATTAGGTTCGGAAGTATTCTCGTATATTTTAATATCAGGTGCACAACTTTGCTTCCGCCGTTTTCCGATAGGTGGCTGTACCGACTGAGGCTGGTTGAAATACATAGATGATAACGCCTTTAAAGTGAGTGTGGACAGTGCCTAACGAATTGTCATCGCCGTTTCAATGACAGTTGCTCTTGTTTTCGTATTATTCACGTTCGAAAATGTCCGTTTATGTGCCTAATTCTCGCCATTTGCGGGAAGTTTTACTTTTCTGTTGCAATTCGAAAAAAATGCGGCTGAAGCGCATTGAATGCTCTCAGAAACTTACGGTGATGCTGCTCTGAGTGAAAGAACGTGTCAGGAGTGGTTTCAACGTTTTAAAAATGGTGATTTCGATGTCTAAGACAAACATGGTGGTGGAAGAGAAAAAACCTTCAAAGATGTACAACTAGAAGCATTGCTTGATGAAGATTCGTGCCAAACCCAAGAACAGCTTGCCGAATCGTCTCAAGGCCCTTGGCATGATTCAGAAAGAAGGAAACTGGGTGCCGTACGAGTTGAAACCGGGGCCTCAAAAAGTACCTTCTGACTTCCACCTATTCCGTTCGATGGCACACGGCCTGGCAGATCAACATTTTCAATCCTTCGAAGAATTGGAAAAATTGATTGCTTTATGGATAGCGTCAAAAGAGGACTCCTTTTTTCGAGCCGGGATCCGAAAATTTCCGGAAAGTTGGGAGAAAGTTGTCGCTAGCGAAGGACAATACTTTGAATAATATATCTGTAAGCACTTTTTCGCAATAAAGCTTTTAATTTTGGAAAAAAAAAACGGCGGAAGCAAAGTTGTACACCGACTTGAGGTTAAGATCGTAAAAAAAGCTCTTAAAAGATATAGAAACTTCCTAGACCTAAATCTTAAAGAAAAGCAGTTATTATATATTTTATCTTTATTAATAAACTCTTAACTTTAACAAGTAAATTATACCACAAATATGTTATAAACTAATTTTATAATGAGGTCGGCCCTCCGCAGAGAATGTCAAGTCCTCCGAGTGTATTTTTGACATGAACCAAAAAAACACCTTATAAAAAACTTCGGCCGTTTGGAGGCGGCTTATAACAAACTGTAGGTCCCTCATCAATTGCAAAGCACCACTACTTGGCAACACTTGCTCCAAATACATATAATTCCAATTAGTTCAAGGATTACTAAGAAAATTTGGAAGTGTTTGCCAACAAATTTTCATATATTTTTATCTAAATAGGTAAGTTAAAATTGAAATATTTCAATGTAATGCAGGACTCTGCAGATAAATTTGACAACCTTCGACATTAAAAGCACATACCTCATGGATCTGCAGTATTTCATTGATCTGCCATGAGTAAAAAAAGTTATAATCCAAAGAAAATTATTACATTTTCCAAAAAAAAAAGTAAATTTTTATGTAAGAAGCTCAAACGTTTCTACTTTCTAAAATGAAAAACCCTCACACATATATTAACAAATGATTAATTGCTTTAATGTTTTGATGTCACTTGCAAACTAATGGACTCATTTAGTTTGCAAGTGTATTTTCTATAGATATCAGGTGCTTACAGATATATTATTCAAAGTATTGTCCTTCGCTAGCGACAAATTTCTCTATCTTTCCGGCAATTTTCGAATCCCGGCTCGAAAAAAGGAGTCCTCTTTTGACGCTATCCATGAAGCAATCCATTTTTCCAATTCTTCGAAGGATTGAAAACGTTGATCTGCCAGGTCGTGTGCCATCAAACGGAATAGGTGGAAGTCAGAAGAGGCGACATCTGGGGAATACGGCGAGTGGGGCAAGACTTCCCATTTCAGCGTTTCCAGTTACTTTTTGACCACTTTTGCGACGTGTGGCCGAGCATTGTCGTGTTGGAGGATGACTTTGTCATGTCGCTCTTGATATTGTGGCGGCTTTTCTTTTAGCGCGCGACTAAGTCGCTTCAGTTGCATTCGGTAGCAATCTCCTGTGATGGTTTCACCCGGTTTTAAGAGCTCGTAGTAAATCTTTGAAGGTTTTTTCTCTTCCACCACCATGTTTGTGTTCGACATCGAAATCACCATTTTTAAAACGTTGGAACCACTCCCGACACGTTCTTTCACTCAGAGCAGCATCACCGTAAGTTTCTGAGAGCTTTCGATGCGCTTCAGCTTTATTTTTTTCGAATTGTAACAGAAAAGTAAAACTTCCCGCAAATGGCGAGAATTAGGCACATAAACGGACCCTCCCTTTAACCCTCTTGACTGTGAATTATTATCAACGTAAATTCGACACTTTTGTTTATTAATGTATCCATTCAACCAAAACTGTGGCTTCAATAAATATTGGACACAGAGGGCGAAATGAACCATCATTTTTGTAATAAAATTGCATTTTATACAAACGTTGTTCCGGAGTAAATTTGTTCATGAAATGGCAAATCAAAACTGGTTATAAAATAAGTAACAGCTGCCAAAAAAGACGAACCTCGAAAATAGTATTGTCCTTTGAAAAAAACACGTTTAAAAAAAGAACACTTTTCAAATGAAAAATTGACGAGACCAATCAGACACTTTTGAAATGAAAAGTATATTTCAGGAGCCACAGGACAGAATATGAAAAAAATTCTAACCTAAAATTCACATAGTCTAGTATGAGCATGGACTGTATTTTGGGGCAAACAACCCACTTAGTCCATATGCTATTATCGATGGCAACTAAAGTTCTACCTTCCATATACCAGACTTTCCGTTTATAAACTAATTTTAACTATCCTAAATAAACCCTTCTATTTCATGCAGAAATAATGGATTCCATTTTACGAAATAAAATATAAATAAGTTAATTAAAATACATAGCGACCGTAATAGCTGAACGATTAGCTTTGAATTCTGCCATCACCATCCATTAAAAAAATAATTTAAATAAAAAAGTTAAGTTAATTTCTCTAAGTGCGGTCGCCCCTCGGCTGCCAACCCATTCGAGTGCATTTATGACATGAAAGCTTCTCATAAAACTCCTTCGGTCCTACGGAGGCGGATTAGTATGAATTCTAGATCTCTACATTTGTCGGGAAAAACATCCAGACGTACACCACCTATTTGAGGAGGAGCTCGTACTTTCAACCATTACAAAACGGTTATGATTTTTTATAATTAAAGAAATTTAAAGGTTTTACCATATATTCGATCATAATTTAATGGGACATTTTATATTGTAAAACAAAACATGACAAAAACAAAACAAATCACAAAATCAACAAATGGTATATAGAAAAAAGTTCGTATGTAAAAAGTAGCTTAATACATAAATACACCGTTAAACAGTGTTCATAAAATTGTACTAATTCAAAGCACTAAGTACTCATAGGAGAATTGATGAAATATATTTACAATAGTGATCGCTCGGATAGCAACGTCATGTCAACCACACTAACAAATCAACTAACTTAGAACTTCTCCGCCGCTGGTGGGCCATACTCGGCGGCTGGTGCAGGTGGTGGACCGTATTGTGTAGCAGGTTTCTGCTGTTGCTTGTACTTGATGAAGTAAACCTCTGGTTTGCTGGGTTCTGTAGGTGCAGGTGATGGCAATATCAATGGCTGTTGTTCTTCGGGTTTCTTAACCAACACATAGACGAGAGTTTTGTGTTCATCCTGTACTGGAGGTGGCAATACTTGTTGTACTGGAGCTGGTGGATTTGGTGCTTTAATGAAGATGATTTTATAATGCTTCTTTGGTACAGCAGTTTGAATGGGTTCTGCTGGCTGATACACTTCTGGCTCCTCTGGTGGCACATGTACGTACACATTCTTAGTGACAATGGCCTCAGTGGCTGGTGGTGGACCATAGAAGGGTGCAGGTGGACCATAAAGTGGTAGCGGCTGTGGTGGCTGTGTAGGTGGTGGACCATATTGTTCCGCTGGTGGCGATGGTGGTGGGCCGTATTGCTTGGCTGGCGCTGGTGGTGGTCCATAGCGAGTTGACGGTGGCTCAGGCCTGGCCATAGCCACGGCGAGGGTGCAGGCGATCACAAATAAACTACGCATTTTACGAAAATTTTTGGTTTAATGATTAGTATTAATGCTACTGGATAGTTTCTGAGCCGTGTTTTGTGTTACGCGTTCGATTTATCGTTTTGAATTGACATAATGCTTTGGGCAAGAAAATGCTTTTATACGCAAACAAAATGTGCAGCCCCTCTAGACGCCTCGACAACTTCAGTTGTACGAATTTCGATTTCGTTCGGGTTGGAAGCGGGCGCAGTTTCGCCAGAATGGCTGGCGTAGTGTGGACGTCGTTAATGGAATCGCTCCGTTTCGTTTTTGTTTTTTTTTTTTGCTAAGTCTACGTTGTGTGCTCAATTAATTTTATTGTTGTTTATTATGTATGTATGTATGTGGGTTTGTGTGTCTTAAATTTTTGGCACAGATTTACAAATCGTTACTATGCGCGCTCGCACGCCCGCAATGCGACTGCGTCAACGCACGCCGACCACCGACCACCGTCCACCGTCCACCGTCCACCGTCCGCCGTCTGCCGAATGCCCACCACACCGGCGATTACGCGATTTGAGCCATCAGCTAGCTATCTGCCCGAACGCTTCCTGCATACACAATGCGATTTCCGAGTTGAGCGTCAAAACAATAATAAGAACAACAACAACAAAAAAACAACAAATTGCAATAAATACTCGAGTACAAGCTTACAGACATATTCAAGTGTAATTACCAATATACATATCGAATTTTTTCAATTACAAAATTTGTTTTACTCTTTATTTGCAATATCTTCGCAGCTACATGTATTTGTTTTAGTCACTTGTGCCAGCGGTGGCAGAGTAAATATGTGCAGTAGCACTCGAACGCCCAACGCCAATGTGTGTTGACACCTTTTTGGGCTTCCCGGCTGTAAAGTCTACAAAACTGCCAAAAATTGCTTGCATTTTTTTGGCTACAATTCGTTACGTTGTCGTATGCACTCTCTCTCTTTGAGGTGGTATGCGTACTCATGTGTGTGTGTGTGTGGGTATGTGTTTGAGCTGAGCTAACCTGGTGTCCGGCATCGGTCAGTGCATTGCACAAAATTATATAATACTCCGAAATAAGGCGGCGGCGCACCGCGGTGTTTGAATGTGAATGACGGCAATGTATGCGCATACCTACTTCGGTCAGGGCTACTCCATACGTGCCGTTTCGAATACAGTCAACATTGTTGTTAACTGCCACAAAGCTGTTATTTTGTTTTTACACATTCTCATAACTATTGTTATTATTTACTGAATTTGTTGCCTCAAGGACGAAAAATGTGAAAGTAAAGTATCTTACATTATTTATTTAAGTCTATGGAGAAAAAGGTTGCCTTGATAAAAGCACCTTCCTTCGATTTGCAATCAAAACCATTTACATCATTGGAACCTCCTTTAGTTTAAGCATTTCTATTCATATGAATTATGTTAGACTTATTTTTGATGCGCTTTGATGTCTTGAAGCCTTCAATCAAGAAATCTGGTTGGTGGTTGTCGTATCTACTTAATTGGCAATGGAAGTAACAACGTTTGTATGTATGTGATTTGCTTTCGAAATCAATATTTTCTGTAGATAAATTCCTGGTAGAATAGTTTCTGATATCTGCTTTATTCAAATGTGTTTCGACTATGTTGAAATCTTTTTAAACTAAACTGCCTTTATTCCGTCAAATTGAAATTTTTAGTAGGCCACGACAGAGTCTATATAAGCTTTACAGATTGATAAGTAACAGAATACCGTTCACCCAGATAAATATCTCTAGCTTTTTTGAGGCCGGTTGACAACTTTTTGTGGTCGAAATTACTGATTCATAAGTCAATATTTTCCAATGGAATTTTTTTCACTGTGGGTGCGTCCATTTGGGCACAAATTATCTCTTAATAGGCCTATTCTCACTGCTACCCGTAAAGTAAATTTTGTTACTTTTTTTTAACACCCGTAATTGAATTTGGTATTCTGGCGAACTGTTTGCAATGTTTGAAAAAAAAAAAAAAAATTGGCAGCACTGTTTTTTTCGTTCATGTCAAATTACATTTGCCAGTTGGTAAAGTAAAAAAAGAAGATGATACACATCGAAATGGAAGACGGCACTTCAGAATAAATAAGTTGTTTTTTTTCCTATGTTTATTAAATCATAAATATTTGAACCTAATTTTGGAAAATTTGCCTAAGCGATAAAAAAGCTGAATAAAATGCTATCTTCCAACTTAAAAGGATCATTTGTTTCTCACAAACTTCTTAGCATAAGCCTTTTTCCATTTTTGCCTACCAAACAGTAGATTTTTTGTTACTTCCTATTTCGCTGGTAACAAAATTTACAGGGTGACAGTGAGTTCAGAATACGAAATAGTAACAAAATTTACTGAATGCTGAGTTTTAATAGCAAAGTAAATTTTGGTTAACTCGACAGAATAGGCCTGTGAATGTCCAATCTTCTTTTTGGTAATCCAGGCTTTGATGAAAATCTGACAGGAGTTTCTAAAAATATCATGAAAAGCATGAACCAGTGTTTATCTGCGCAATGCAGCTACATTTAAAGGCTCTTTTTGAAAACCAAATCGCATTTCGGAGTGGTCATGCACTAGCGATAGAACTCGGAATTTTGTTATTTCAAATTAATTTTTAAGTTGAAAATATTTTGATTATATCCTGAAACAATTAACTTATATACATATCAAAATTGTTTTGAAACAATATTTTGATAGAATGGATAATTTTTGTGTATTTTTTTAACGTATTTGTTATGTTCAGTTGTGTTGCCACCAAATTCCACAATTGGTCAGTATGCCATTTTATAGGTCTGACTTATAAGATAATAAATGTTTTTTCAAATTTGCTACAGAAAATTACAGATGTGTGTGTGTAATCGTAAGTTTACTAAACCCAACGCTGTCGATTGGACATCGTTCTTTGTTGTGCAAAATCATTTATTTATTTATTAGTAAATTTTTTGTTTGTGTTTGCAATTTATTTTATTTTTTCTTCTGGCAAAGGGAACAAACGAAGAAAAGTTAATTAAATTAATAAAAGTTGTCAAAGAGAGTTGTTGAAAAGAACTGTGACTTTTTGAAAAAATTATCATTTTAATGCTCCAACTTTTATGTCGATATGTAAACATTGAATAACTTTGAGAAAAACAACCAGTTTCTATAAAGAATGTATTCTTATTCAGTTTGGTTTCTTACAATTTTTTATGGACTAATTTTCAAAAACAATATTAATCAAGTGGCTACCTTTATTAGCAATTACAAAACGACTCCCTTTTTCTGCACTTGCCATTACCTTTCCGAACATCTCTGGTGTTATGGCGTCGATTTCATTACGAATGTTTGCCTTGAGCTCAACAACAGTTTGAGGCTGGTTGGCGTAAACTTTGCTTTCCAGATAACCTCACGAGGGGTTTTAAATCAGGTGATCTGCCTTTTTTCCGCAATACTTTTTCCGATATGCACGTTGAGTTTACACCATGGAAGGACTGTTATCGATGTAAAATGTCACTATTTCAGCGCGTGGTTTCGGTGTGAAGCGATCCATGGCAAAAAAAAAATTGTAATGAATTGACCAAAACATATTTGATACAATCACTCGGTTGGTAAATCTGATTGACTAAAACTGACTGACTAAAAGAAGAGGAAAATATCGTACTCAGCTGAAGCTGGAAGTGAATACACAAGGGGCGGTAATACGCAAGACCATTTTTTAACAATTCAAAATTGTCAGCGGAATGCAATGTGCTATCTGAAAATATGTAAAATTAACGTTCAAACCTTTGCAGAATAAGGACTTGACATCACAAAAGTACCTATTATCATAAACTAAATTTCTAATACTCCTGTCTACTGAGAAAATAAGTTGTGCGCTTGCTTCGATGGAAGAGTTGTCGAAGAAAGCTACTCAGTCGAAATACAAGGACATTAAAAAATCAAGCCATACAAGCCTCTCCTGTCCTTCCTCCATTTCATATTTTTAATTATATTTTTTTTAAATATATTTGTTATGTTGTTGTTATAATTTGGACAAGCAAATTTATTTGAATGAAGATACCTGTAGCACGTCTTTAAATATAATATTAAGATATCCAGTTTTTTATTAAAAAAAAAATAAAACTAAAAAAAATCGTAAAAATAAAGGATCACCTTTCGAAAGACCCCCAAAATAAAGGCAGGCAGGAAAATGTTATAAAAATTATGATAGTACGTTTATCATACATACCTTTTAGAGGATAATTTAACAATAGCAACCCTTTAGGAGTTTTCCATATTCCAGTCCGTACGACACATAACTACAAATCTAAATCGTACAAAAATTGTTGAAATGTGTTATTTGCAATTACTCTCATTTGAATAAGAATAAAATTCTCTCCAACAGGCAGTAGATTTTACGAAGGACCCGGAAAAATTCACAGTTATTTTTTTTCAAAATTTCCATTTTAACAACATATCCATATTGTAATGATACCTACATATTAACATAATTATTGGAACAGGACGATTCATTTCACAAAAAACAACACTTAAAACCTCACTTTTCGTTCCTTCTCTTCGCTGTTTGGCGCCAATTGGAAATTCCAAGTAAAATTAGACCACTCTCCACCTCATCCTTCCAACGGAGTGGAGCGCTTCCTCCAGCGGGTACTGCATCGAATACTTTCAAAGCTGGCGGGCCTTAAAGCATTCCGCCGACATGAGCTAACTATCATAGGCGCTCTCTCTTCATTAACTCGTTCCAACGCTCAAAAGAACATAAATCGTTCGCAAAACTTTCCCCTCAAAGACTCCCGGGGCCAACTCATCATCGACATCGTCCACACTTATACGCCCTACAGCAGGAGGAGAAGGCTGAGTAGCTTTTAGGGATTGGTTGGTGAGGGAAGATTTTACTTTTTAACTACCTACTCAGTCCAAGAGTGATTCTGCGATTGATTTCAATGCTGATTCTAGTGCCTAGATAGAGGACATTGTCTACGACCTCGAAGTAATGACTGTGAACAGTCACGTGGTAGCTAAAACGTAAGTTTTACGACTAGAAGAAGTCCTTGGTTTTAGATAAGGTGACTCTTTATTGTCTACAGAGCTAAATAGACAAAGTACAATATTTTACAAGAGTTGCTAATGTATACTTCTTAATTCTTCAGCG